ACTCTTTTAAGTACTGGGATTATAGGTGCTTGCCATTGCATCTGTCTGCTTTGAGAGTTATTTAATTCATGGCCTTTGAAATCATTTAAGAGGCAGAGGAAATAAAGCATGATGGTGAACCTTTTAGAGCTTTCAGTGAGGCAAATAGCCCACTGTAGCATGTGTGCCACAGGTTCCTCACCACTAAGAGAAATGAGACTGTAAGAAGCTAGAAACCATGAACTTCCAGTGAGCAGTGGGATAGGGTTAGAAATTCTTGAAAACTAGAATGGACAAAGAGAACTGGTGGCATAGCACTTCACAGAAATGGAAGGTGGGGCCGGGGATTTATCTCAGCAGCATAAGTGCTTGCCTGGCAAGCTCGAGGTCATGAGTTCGATCCCCAGTACCGCCAAAAAAAAAAAAAAAAAAAAGAAAGAAATGGAGGGTGGCATGTTAGGAAAGTGAACTAAGCTGAGTGTTATAGTACATGCTTATACAGATATTCCTCATTTAACTACATAACTGTTTAACGACTGTTTGGAGTTATGACGAAGGCATGCTGTTCGGAGTTTAAGACCCATCACTTAGGTTTATGACCCATCCTTTTTTTTTTTTTTTTGGTACAGTTTTATACATCTTGTTTATACAGCCTCAATGTCTTTTGTTTGTACAGTGCACGTTTATATAGTACCACAAGTTTTGTGGTTGTACTGTGCAGTACGTAATTTTATGCTGTAGTATACATTATGGTTCTGCATGTAGAGTTATGCAAATAGCACAGTCACCAAGTTGGAGTTTGCTTTGACCATTTTTTTGTTCTGAACTTTGTAATGGATATACCATATACAACTCATTTGGTAATCAATTTATTTAAAGACCTAATCTCAGAGATGTAACTCAGTTGTTAAATGAAATCTCTAATCCTAGCTGAGGCAGAAGGACCAAATGTTTGAGCCCAGCCTGGTCAACTTAGCCAAGACCCTGTCTCAAAATTTTTAAAAACATTTTTAGAGAGCTGTGGAGGCAACTTGAGTGCAAAGGTCCAGGGCTTTTAGTCACCAGTGCCACAACGGAGTACAGGTGAGGTACATGGCAGCATCCATGTAACAGAAAAGTCTAGCAAGATACAAACTAGTTTTCCAATAGCTGTTGGTGACCACACATGAGTAATTCAAGCAGTGGGAGTTAGAACTTTGGAATGGAAAGTGAAGGTGGAAATAACTATGGTCATCCTCAGAAGAGCTTGTAGGGTTGACCACACATGAGAAGGATTGACTTTGACTCAAAAGAGAGTTGTCCCTTTTTTGGCAATGAGTAGAGGTAAGTGAAAGGATAGTTCAGAAAGATCACTTCTGGAAATCTGTTTCCTCAGCAGTACCTTCAGTGGGATCTGTTGAGGGCAGTGAGGGTTGGTTGATAGGAAGGTACATAATTGAAGCCATGTGAAGCAGATAGATTTTAGTATAGAGGAGGAGACAAACTAGGGCTGTTGAGCTGTTGAGGGCCTTGATGAAATGGAAAGTCTTGATGTTTTTATAGCACAACTGTTCTCAGTATTGTGCTGCTTAGGCCTCTGAGTCCCTAAAATCTTTCCAGGCTGTCTGTAAGTTAAAATTATCTTAACATTACTACTAAAACATCTTTATACTGTTTTCCATGATACCATCTGCACTCATGATACAGAAGCAATGATGAGCAAGGCTGCAGCACCTTGGCCTAGTTCAAGGCCATAGCACCAAACTCTCACTTCTTCAGAGCTTAAAAATCAATGCCAGTTACATAGAAGGATGTCCTTGATGAAGCAGTAAAAAATACTTGCTTTGTTAAATCTCTTCAATACATGTCTTTGTGACATTTTGTGTGATAAAATGGGAAGTGCACATTGGGCATTTCTGCTTATGGAATGAGGTTATTTTTCTCATGAAGGTGCTGGTACAATTCAGCTGTGAACTGAATAGGCTACTTTTAAAATCAATCATCAGTAATGTTTAAGAGTTATAAAAGGGTTCTGAGATCACAGAATTAGAGTACTGTTGCCATAGCAGTTTGTACAGTTAGTTCATTTTCTCTGGTGCTGCCCAGAAACTCAAGTTGAAGATGAGAGTGAAAGTTATAGTGCTGTTTCAGGATCAGAATTCTGAGCAGGTGACCAGAAGAGGTGCTAGATAGATGGCTGTCCAGGGTCTGTGGTAGGACAGAAAGGGAAAAGATCTTACAGATGGAAGAGAAGGACAGGGGCTATGTCATTATATATCTTTTTAAAGTTAAGAGAAGATGTGAAATACTGAAAGAGCCAGGGGACCATGGTCCGGTGTAATCCCAGTTTCAAAGGGACTTCCTGTTTTTCAGGGAAATAAACTGTATCCAAGTAAGTATGCAGGCTGCCATGATTCATGCTATCCAAAGTGGTACCACTGGGTCTTGGTGTGGCGTGGGAGGAGGGGGCTAGGCACACTAAGTGTGGGGTCAGCACCTGCCAGCTACTTCCCATTTTTCTTTTTTCTCTTTTGGTAGCTATGAATAATGCAGAAATAGCACTTGCAAAAAGAAGGCTGAAATCCAGTTATTTTTCAAGTGGAAGGGGAAGCTATTTGAAGTTTTTTGCCTGTAGGTTTAAGGGTCTAGAATTTAACTGGAAGGAGCTAACAGATCTGTTTTAGAAATGCTTAAGCCAAATAATAATTTAGTTGCCTTGAAGTGCTTCCCAGATTAATACAGGTGTCCCTACAGTGGTGAAATAATGCTGTTAGAATCTGTGGTCATGTCTTTCTGCGTTTTTCTTTGTACTGACAGTACCTGACTGGGCAAAAGGCCAAGTTACTTAATTGCTTCTCAAAAAGGAAATCATTTGGAAAATATCTGCAAGCTCTTGTGGTGAAGTGGTCAGGACCAGGAAGACTGATCTCATGTAAAGCTGAGCTTATATCTTAAGCTATTGTCCACACACCTGCCAGAGTATTTGAGGCAACTAGGATTTGAACTCGAGGTGTCTGAATTCTTGACCATCATGTGTGACTTGATTTTGACTGCTGAAAGAATCTCCTCCTAAACCTCACTAGCTATACACCCTGTATCACAGCTTTAGACATGAACACCTCTAATGGCCACACTGCTTCCATTAAGGCCAAACCTTTGAGAGAACTTTCTCTGCTCCAAAAAATTCTTTAGGCTACAAAGCACTGTGTCATTTATTGCATAATTTCCTAAGATACAGTCAGAATTTTGTATGGGAAAGATTATAGATGGAAGCACAAATTATTTTAAACGTATTGCAGACTTACTTCCTCTTAAAGGTCAGTGGTTGCTCCATTGGTGTCATGCAATAAAGGATGTCAAAAAATAGGAGCCAGAACTGAAGAGTGCACACATGCAGACATGAGCATAAACATATTCATGTGCATACCCTTCAGTAACCTTAAGCAACAAGGTACCTGCTATCTAACGCTAAAGCAGTCACTTCAGAAAGTTTACTGGTCAGCTGTCAAAGGTTGAACATTTTTAAATAAGTAAATGATTAAAAGTTTTTTTCTCAAAATAAGCTAGAGCCGATTCTCCAAGTTAATCATTAATAACACATTTTGGTTATTACCAGTATTTTTTTACATTCTAATAGGATTTAACAGCATAAGCGTAAGCCAATTTGTAGATGGGTGAGGTTTTTGTCATCTGCAAATAACCTACCAAAATAATAACTTTAGGTTCGATGTGGTGGTGCACACCTGTAATCCCAGCACTCAGGTATAGTGAGTGACCAGTTGCAGCTCTAGATGTTCCCAGGGGAAAAGACAATTAGAGGATGCGAAAATAAAGAAGAGAGGAAAGCTGAGGTCAGGTAGAGCCTTTACTCTCCTGATGGGAGAAAGGAAACAGCTCAACCACTGTAGCACTTTTATTTATACAGGCAAGAGGAAGATGTCAATTTCAATCACACTGCTTAGCAACATGTTTGCCTGGCTGACCTGAGTCCCTTGCCTTCTTAGAGCTGAAACAGCTTGTATAAGTGGCTTGTTTGGGGCTCTCTTATTTTCAAGGCTGGCCTTGCTTTAGCCCCAATTTCTAGTTTCAGTGGCTCTTTATACCCAGGAGGCTGAGGCAGGAAGATCACTGCAGATTTGAGGCTGTCATGGGGCTACATAGTAAGCTCAGCATGAGCCTGAACTACATAGTGAAAGCCTATCTAAAAAATACTAAAAGTAGGAGCTGGGGATTTAGCTCAGTGGCATAAGCACCTGCTTTGCAAGCGGGCAGTCGTGAGTTCGATCCTCAGTACCGATAAAAAGGAAAAAGACCAAAAAAAAAAAATTAAAAAAAAAAATACTAAAAGTAAATGATTTCAAGAAAATAGGCTTTCCTTGGAGTTGTTTAGCAATACAGTGCTTACCTAGCATGTGTGAGTCCCTGGGTTCAATACCATCAAAAAAAGAAAGAGGCTTCATTAAGTAGATGCCTATATATTCTTTAAAAATCTGTGTTCTTTATATTGGCTTTATTAGCTTTTCAGATTTGCTGTAGGTTTTTAGATCTAAGCCTTAGATTTTTCAAGGTGTTTGAGAGTCTGAAGTAGGTCTAAAGGGGATGGTGTAGCTCCTTTTTTCTGTTCCCTAACTACAAGACTCCTGATTTAATTTGAAGAAAAGTTGCTACTCAGGTTGAAAACCACTTGTCTGAATATAAATAAGTGGAAACAATGTTTTTAAAGATTGGGCTCAGGTTCTTGCTAGGTTGCCCAGTTAGGGTTTGAACTTGGAATCCTCCTGCCTCTGCCTCAGTGTTTTAAAGAACTCCCTTTAGCTACCTCTTCTCCAGACCAATAATGTTCTACCTTTCTGAGCATTGAGATCTACATCTGTCAGGTGTTCAGCACCTGTATTCACACAGACTGGCGTGCTCAGTCTGCTAGCTTCTCACCTCACAGTGATGCTCTGCTCAGTTTTGTGGGTTGTTGAACAAGAAGTATAAAACACTTTGGTGACCATTACCTCTGTTTCTTACCATGGTGAAAACCTTTGTCTTCATAGCTCTGGACTTACTGGACAAAATGTTGACATTCAACCCTCACAAAAGGATTGAGGTTGAACAGGCTCTGGCCCACCCATATCTGGAGCAGTATTATGACCCAAGTGATGAGGTAAGAGCTCATGCTGCTGACTGCTTCCTCAAACACAGCAACCGTGTCCTGCATATATGGTAGCATGTGTTGTATTTTAGCATACTTGGTCCTTCAAATACAGACATTCCCTCCTCCTTGAAGACAAGCATTGTGGGTATATCTTGAAGTCCTTTCTCCCCTGACTCCCTGCAGCAAGTGGAGATCAGGCAAATATATAAAGCGGAACAGCTGTACCAATGTGTAGCATGGAGAGGACAAGGGTATTTGCATGCTAGGCAAATACTCTGACTGAGCTACATGCGTAACCTGTTTATTGTTTATCAGAAGGGTGCTTTCAGGAGTATGAGCACAAGTGTGTACATGCTTATCAGCATTGAGATACGGGGCTAATTGATGGGGAGGTGCTGGGGTCAAACACAGGACTTCACATATTACTGCTGAGCACGCACTCTTACACTGAGCTATAACCTCAGGCCTGGAGCCCTCAGGTTTTATATGACATCAGTCCTGTGGTATAAATTTCAGAATGTGAGTCAGAGAGTCATTTTCAGTAAACTTATGCCTTAACCGTAACAACTTTTGATTATTAAGTGTTTTATTTTCTCTTAAAGCCCATTGCTGAAGCACCATTCAAGTTCGACATGGAATTGGATGACTTGCCAAAGGAAAAGCTCAAAGAACTCATTTTCGAAGAGACCGCTAGATTCCAGCCAGGATACAGATCTTAAATTTGTCAGGTACCTGGATCTTTTTTTTTTTTTTTTTTTTAATCGGTACCGGGGATCGAACTTACGACTGCCTGCTTGCAAGGCAGGCGCTTATGCCGCTGAGCTAAATCTCCAGCCCTTAGGTACCTAGATCTTTAACCATAGAATTAAATGTCATGAGAAAGAAAAAAAGAATTTAATGTATTCGCCTTTGGTTGAATATAGATTTTGTACAGATTGCTTCATGATTTAAAGCTGGAGAAATTATACTTTCCACCACTGTTGAAAACATACACTTGGAATCCTTTAATTTCTAGAAGTTAATACAGACCTATGGATTGCAAGGATATGAGATTGATGTGAAATTAAGTTGTCAGGGTAATAGCTACAGTGAGATTTAGTGTTTAGGGAAGAGAGACTAAAGCTAATTGTGTGTGTGTGTGTGTGTGTGTGTGTGTGTGTGTGTGTGTGTGAAAGTGAACTTAATGGATGGAATAAGTCTGAGGTCTTAATTTCTGAAAGTCTTTTTATTTAAGTCATTTTTAATATTAAGAAATTCTAAGGTATAATTTTCGGGGTCCTAGAACTCTACTCCATACCCTGTGCTGAGGCTTGTACTGAAGCTTTTGTGCATGCTACGCAAACACTATGTCACTGAGCTACACCCCCAACACCCTGGGACTTTTCTCTGAGTTAAGAGCATAACTCAGTGCTATAACTGAGGTGCATATGTGGTAGCTAGTCAAGACAAAGAAACATTGATAGAGTTAAAGCCAAAGGAGCAGTAGTATAGTGGTTGATGCTGAAAGATTCTGCCAGCCTGGGACTCAATTATCTCTAATAGGACATCCACTCAACTTGGTGTCTCTCCAAGAGTAACTTCTGTGTTGTTTTTCTAGTTCCAGAAAAAACTTCCCACTCCCTTTTTGCACGTGCGCCAAGCCCTCTCCAATCCCAGATCTCCACAAAGCATGCCATCCCCAGCGCCCATTAAATCTTTCTGTTTCCTGTTTTGTGCACACAGATGCTCCTTCAAGTCAGCTGTTGATATGTCATTTTGCCCACCTCCTAAACTCTTCCCCCAGCCAGACCTGATAAAAATACTTCCAAAGCACTTCTTTGTTCTCATAAGGGTGCTTGAGTCTCTTTTGCAGCCCTCCCAGGCCCTTCTGTGCCAACTTGAGAAGTTTAGAGGCTTCATGAAGCAACTCAGCAGGGGCTGGGGTCCTCACTTTATAGACATCTTTATCCTGTACAAGAGGAGGGAACAGGAGATGATGTGAGTGCTACACCTATCATAGGGAGTAGTAGCCTGTTTTGTTCCAGCAACAAAAGAAAAGTCACCAATACAAGTCGGAAGACAGGCTGAGAGGGAAAATCAGGAAGATTATACAGAAGAAATAGCCAAGGAAGCAAGATGCATAGGTGTCACAAGAAGACACAGGTTTCCACAACTTCACTTTTTAAATGAGATTCCTATGAGAATATAATGAGATTTCCTATGAAAGTAGGTATGTATAGGGCTGACTTCTATGCTTGCTAGGAAATGGGAACATTAAGTTTGCTGCTTTCCAAGAAGAGAAGCTGGCTTCCTATTAAGAAGGACAGCTATATGCTCAGAGTGACAGACTGATCTAGGAGCACTTCTCATGGTCAGAATTCCCAGGCTTGTAGCCCCCACCAGTAAGAACAAGGAATCAGGGACAAGTAGATGTAACTCAAGAACAGATGTGGCCAAAAAGAAGAAAAAGAAGAAGAAAAAAAAAAAAAACATGGCCATCACATCCTCAAAACAGAGACCCTTGATGCTGAGCAGGAGGGGAAAAGAGGGAGTTGGGCAAGAATAGATCCAGATAATTTGGGGGTAAGGAAAACGTTGCTTTCAGAAGTTTGATATCAGAGCAGATAGGGTTAGAATGAGGATAGTCTGGATGGGAAGTCAGTGGAAAACAGTACTTGGTGTGGATTATGGCTGTGGTAATGAGAAGCTGTGGATTCAAGAGAATGAAGCAAAAACAAAGGCAGAAAGACTCCAGAATTTCTAAATCTAGCAACTGAGTTGGGCTGTGGTAGGCCAGCCCTGCTGACAGTACACATACCCTCAAAGACAAACTCAAACCAGAGTGAAGCACTGAGGAAGTGCTTGCTTATGGGGACATGAGGTGGACAGTCTTAAGCCAGCCCAGGAGGAAGAGCTAGGTGTAAACAGGACACTGAGGAGCAGAGGACCAGTTAAGTTCATTCTATCAACCATGCAAGTGTAACAGTCTCTTGCATTTGCCATATATAGTGACTTTCATGATCACTCACTGATGTAAAGTCAGTCTATGTGGATCTTTCTTGGCTCTTCTAGGTGGTACTCACGGTGTAGCTGTTTCTCTTTTCTACTAGCCCCATCCCTTGGTGTGGCTTGGAAGGTGGGTGTCTTGAGCTTGCCTAGGAAATGTGGATATCAGGGATCATTGTTTTCCAAGAAAAATAATTGGTTTCCTGTTGAAAGGATAGTTGTGTGGTGGGACTGCAAGCCTGTTTACCAGATCAGATCCACTAGTCCTGATCAGCCTGCTGCCTGTTGTAGATCGGATCTGCTCTCAAGTTGCCTGTGCTGCTTTTTCTCTGACAGCAGACAAGGTAGTCATAGAGACTTACATGGCCTTTCAAGGCTGAGGACATTTACTCTCTGACATTCTAAAGAATAAGTTTGCCAAAAGGTTAAGCTGACGGGCTTCTATTGCCTTTCTTCCTTCACAGTTTCTTTCAAAGGTCATGTTCTTTAAACTGGTCACTAGTCTTCAATTTGCCCTCATCTTTGTCTTAGTTCAAAACATGTGGACTGCTTAGGGTGGATTAGGTGATACATCAGATGCAGCAGCTAAGCACGAGGGGCAGATTCTGTGTAGGAGGCCAGATAATGAGTATCAAAGCCTAATTGACCTTCCCTGCAGACTTAAAGAAAGGAATGGCAGGCTGTTCCTTTGGCAAATGAGCCAACATGCTCACACAGTGCCAGTTACAGGGAAGCGTCAATATAGCCGAGATCCAGTTGTTTACCTGGACATAATATTGATAATAGTAAATGAGTCTTGTGCTTTCTAATTGCTTGCTCCCATGTCTAAGGGAATAAAAAGAGGTGAGGCAAAGGCCCAGGGCTCTTTGTCCACTAAAGGCAGGAGTTCCCTAGCCCTTCTTTCATAAGCATCTCTGTGACTTACTTTCAATCTCCATTTGCCCCCTCCAGTTAGGCATTCTTAGGAGACTGGTTTCCAACACCTTGCATGGCCTTCAGGGAGCACTCAATCTAGCAGGGGAAGAGCCATATAAGCAGAGTACCTCTGGCCATGTAGTATGGAAGGGCATCTGGGATTAACATGATGATCAGTTTTCCCCATCATTGAGTCAGCGTTGAGTACTTCCTGGAGCCAGGTAGGAGGGAAACAAAGATGAGTAAAACCCAGATTTTGCTGTCTGGCAGCCTGACAATAGGAAACAGGTAAACAATAAGGAGTATGTATAGTATTGGAGATTGTAGCAGAGAGAGATGTAGGCACAGCAGACCCTAAAGAGTAAAAATGAAGATCACATAGGCAGTTGTGCAGAGCTGATCCTCAGGGTTGGGAGCTCTTCACTGTGCAGTAATGATGAGCCAGAAGTCTGTATGTAAGCACCGGCTATAGCTGAGTAGAAGCAGGCCATAGAGGCACCAAACTGAGACATAGCCCTTGCCTCACTAAGGAACCCAGCTGCCTCATGAATGGTTGCCTATCCTGAACTGTTGACCTGGGTAACTGAGGCAACAAGGCTATAGAAGAACTTGGGTAAGCAGGGCCCCATGGGAGGACTGACCAGGTCACTGGAAAGAAGGGCAAATGAGCAGAAGAGAGCCAGACAGAGGCCAGGGTGCCTCAGGGGCTATATAAGCATAAGGCCTAGTCGTCTCCTGTAATCCACATTACAGGCAGGGTCAGAGATGCCGCATTGAGATTCTCCCAATGTGAGAACCCAGGTGTGGCAAAGAAGTCACTGCAATGTGCTGTTCATTTGCTCCTGCTGTGCATTAAGAACCTAAGATGGGGCTGGGTATTTAGCTCAGCAGCATAAGCGCCTGCCTTGCAAGTGTGCAGCTATGAGTTCGATCCCTGGTACCGATAAAAACGAAAAAAAAAAAAGAACCTAAGATACCTAAAGTGTAGTTTTTATTCTAATATTTTAACTATTCTGATAATGTTGTTTTCAACTATTCTGAAAAACTGAAAGAATTTTAAAGAAAACATCCATATTTTCACCACCTAAATTCTACAATTAATGTTTTATTGTATTTGTTTTCTCATCCATCTGTTCCTCCATCTAATGTTTTTGGTGCATTTCATCTAGCCTGATTTAGAATTTAGTTGTCTAGAATATGAAAGTGAATTTAAAAGCTGGGCATGGTAGCACACTCCTATAATCTCAGCACTCAGGAGATTGAGACAGGATTGCTGCAAGTTTAAGGCCAACCTGAACTACATTGGTGGGACCCTGTCTCAAAAAGCAAAAAGATAAAATAAAATAAAACAGAATAGAATCCAGGGGAAGGTGGGCCTGGGAGCACTTATTAACCTGTGTGCCAGTTCTTTCACAAACATTTCATTTTGGTGAGCCCAGCAGCATTCTAGATTCAGCACACATACAGTGGAGCATCTGAGCATTTTGCTGAGGCTGAAATTGCCCATCAGTGCAACTAGTCAGAGGATCTGGGCACTTTGGATCAGAATGCCATTTTGTTGTGATCCCTCCACACTTCCTCCCGCTAACCTCACATTCTCAGAAAGGTCTCAGAACTTGTATATAGATCTTTAGAACACTAAAGATCTATATCTATATATCTATATCTATATCTATATATTTGAAGATCAATCTTCAAATCTGAGAACAGAAGCTCCAACTCTGTGCAACACAGAGACTAAATTTAGAGAGAGGGGATGTTCAGGCACTCAGCTGCAGTAGCAAAGGACTGGAAAACATACTTGGGACTCTTTGGTAAAGGAAGTGGTAGTGATGTCCCTAATGGTGACCTGGGAGCTCTTAAAGGATCACAGTTATTTTATTCTATTTTGCTTGCGGAAGTAGTTGTAGTAACCAAAAGATAAAAATGGAGAATTCCTATGATAACCCTCATCCTCACCCAGCCCCATCTCTTTAGTCCCCAGTCCAGGAGGCTATGCAGGTGGTACTAGGTGCTTATCTTTCTTCCTGCTCTGCCTGTTTGTAAATTTTCTTAGGCGGATTGATCACTTGGGCTATTAACCTTGTCTTCCATTGCTTTCCCAGAAGACAGAAGCATTCTAGAGTGGTTTTAATTTCTGCCAGCCAGTAGATTTGGCAGCAACTTATGACATGTGCCTTTAAGTGGCATGGACCGTGATACCAATCTTTCCTACCTTGACGCTTGAGTTGCCCGTGAAATCATAGCCCTGAAGCACTTTGTGAAATATTAAAGTGATAGATTTTTATGCTGGCAAACATGTCAGGACAATGAGGATCTCCAAAAAAGAAGAGTCTGTTTTGTTGTTGGCATTTTGATATTTGGTCCCCCCACCAGCTATCTGAACCAGGCTTCCTCATCAGAACCACAGGACATAGAACATGATTTGTGGCAATGTTTTCACTTCTCAAGGATAGTACCGAACAAACAGATACTTAATGAAGCCACCTTGTTAAATTCAGTGGATACTTTAGGGCAGTGATTGCCCAGCTGTGGTCCATTTATAAATATTTCCAGCAACCTGAGGTTTAATGGGCCCTTAAGATGCTTAGAGCTGGGGCCGGGGATTTAGCTCAGTGGCATAAGCACCTGCCTTGCAAGTGCATGATTGTGAGTTCGATCCCTGGTACTGGTTAAAAAAAAAGAAATGTAATTTCTTCTAATAAAAATACACATTACTGCTTGGCCAGTAGCACACACTTCCAATTACTCAGGAGGCCAAGGTAGGAAAATGGGAAGTTCAAAGCTGGCCTGGATAATTTAGTGAAACCCAGTCTCAAAAATGTCTGGGCATATACCTCAGTGGTAGAGCACTGCTGGGTTTAATCCCCAGTAATGCAAAACAAAACCAGAACTATTAGGAGAGCAAAGGGGAAACTGTGTTGCTTATGCTTTCCGGGGACAGGGCTGCTGGTCAGCCTCTTGTAGGTATCTACAAACCCCTGGAGAACCAAGTGGACTTCTCCAAGAGTAAGTAGGCCACATGTGAAGGCTACTGGGAAAGTAGCCATCGACTCCCTCTGACTTGGGTGATCTTGCACTATTTTCCACGCTTGGGAGCCAGCCTTAGTGCTCCTTTGCTTCTCAAAATCCCAGCCCACCACCCTTACTGTCCACTAGGATTTGGTTTTGCGCTCAGTTAGAGAAAGCTTGAGCATTATTAACAGCCCACATTCCACTGATTTGCATTGACAACTGGATGTGTTGTCATCCACACAGAAGGACACTTAGTAAGAATAGGAGACAACGGGCTCAGGATGTAGCTCAGTGGTAGAGTGCTTGCCTAGCATGCACGTGACTGTGAGTTCAATTCCCAGTACCACACACACACAAAAAAAAGAATAGGAAATTCCCTTTCAATCTAGGCAGGAGGATCACTGTGAGTTCAAGTTTAGGCCAGCTTAAACTACATGCTGAAATTGTGTCTTAAAAAGACAAACAAGAGAGAGAGATTCTCCTTTACCATAGAACCACATTCTTTTACAAAACCCCTTAAACTCTGTTTCTACTGTTGGAATAGGTGGGTACCATGTGTCTAATAAAGGGCATTTTAGGAACACAGAGGTCAACCTACCTGTGAGTGTGTGTGCGTGCATCTTCTGTATAGTGTGGTGCAAATAGCCTCTTATTACCTGTTTGAGGAAGGTACCTGTAAAGACAGAGTTCCAGCCCTGTCAGAACCGATATTGTTACGTGCCCATGTGTATGCAAGTAAAGTGACCTTTTTTTGCAAGAGTGTTTCTCCCCCTTCCTGTGAACTTTCCTGCTGACAGTAACCTTTTATTATGGTTCATTTTTTTTTCACGTTTCCATTTTGTTAAGCTGCTGCTGATGTGTTAATATGGCTCAGCCCTAACTCCTAGATTTATCTGTTTGTATTTTTTTAGGACATGGGCTCAGAGGACTGGACGTGCTCAGACATCGGTGTTCTTCCCAGTTCTTGACCCCTGCTCCTGTCTCCAGCCTGTGTTGGCTTATCCACTTTGACTCCTCTGAGCTGATCAGAGGGGGCAGTTTCTGGTAGTTGTGGCTTTTATGCTTTCAAAGAATTCCTTCAGTCCAGAGAATTCCTCCTGGCACCCCTGTGTGTGTCACCCACTGGTGACCTGCGGCAGTATGTACTTTCAGTGCACCTACTGCTTACTGTTGCTTTAGTCACTTACTACTTTCTGGTTTGAAAGATGCAGTGGTTCCTTCCGCTCCCGAATCCTTTCTATGTGATGCCCTGCTAACCCAGGCAGCCTTGGCAGAGCAAGATTCTTTCCAGATTGGCTGCAGTCACTGGCATCTTACTTAATGATAGGAAAGTCCTACATAGGGCACTTTAAGTCAGTGACAGCCCTGAATTTGCACTTCCTCTGTTGCCTGTAACTGTCTCCCCAGAGAAGGAGCTTGTGGAGAGCTTGGATGACATTGCAGTCTACACCAAGTGTTTCCACCTTGGGAACCTTTGGAAGCATTCATGTCTTTTCTCATATCATGCTAGTCACTAACATATTTAAGGTATGTACTGTTTTTCCAGATTTTAGAAAAAACGATCATTTTTCTAAATAAAAAAGTACGGCACTCACCAATGTCATTCTGCAAACTTACTGTGGTTACTTTTATCATTTATTTATAAAAGTATAACATTTGCCAAAATGCATTATATGCAGTACTTAGTGTTTGCAAGACCTGCACAAAAAGATACGAAGTGGCAGTTGTGTACAGCGTTTGGTGACAGACTCACCAAGGTTAAAGCACTGAATGGGGGAAAAGTTGCTGAAGAAGTAGTCAGCACACTGACCCAGTAGTCCCAGGTAGAGTGCCATCTGCCTGGTGCACATGTGCCCCGAGCTGCTTTACACGGTGTCTGTTTTAGTAACCACATTCAGCACCTGAGAATTTAGCAGAGAGGATCACTGCATCTTTAAATGAGAAAGTATACAATCCTTTTTTCCTTCTATAGCATGTCAGCTTCTCAAGTTCATTTTTCAACCTACAGTATAACAATTTATAATAAAGCCTTCATGAGCTCATGACATGAAGCACTGTTCTATTGTCAAGTACTCAGATATTTCTGAACTGCTGAGTTAAGAACATCAGAAAAAGCTAGCACTAAGTCATGTTCAGAGCTCTCTCCATATTTTCCTTATCTCTTTTAAGTATTTGTTCCTGCCACTGTGTACTGTGGAGTTGACTCGGTGTTCTGTCCCAGTGCGGTGCCTCCTGACTCCCCCACTGCTCTCTGTGGTGAGAAATTTGCCTTGTTCAATAATTACTGTACCCTCGCATGACTGTTACAGCTTTCTGTGCAGAGATGACTGTCCAAGTGCCACATGCCTATGATTGAAACGAAAAATCTATTGTTACCTCTGAGTTGTGTTCCACGGAAAATGCTATCCAGCAGATCATTTAGGAAAAAAAAATCTATTTTTAACTTTCATTTCTCAGCTGTCCTTTTTCTTGTTTGTTTTTTTGACAGCAATGGAGAATGGGTTATTACTGCTTGCTAACATGAACAGCACTGCACTTGTAATTCATGGAAATAAATGTGCATCTTTATCTTCACATTCATGTTAAGATTCAGTGTTGATTTCCTCTGGACCAGCGTGTCTGAGCAGACAGTCAGATTCAGTTTGCACTTAAACATGCAAATGGGCCTCCGTTTCACATCCCAAGCACTGTCCTACACTTTAGTTTAAGATGACTTTAAAAGGTTCTTTTCCCCTCTGCACAGCCATTAATTCTGGCATGTTCCTTTGTTCAAATAGTCTGTCAAACCCTGATGACAAAGCCCAAACATCTCAGGTTGGAATCTCTGGTTCCCTCTAAAGAGGACCTGGCTGTGTACCCCACAGCTGCTGCTGGGCACAGCCGAGTGCTGGGAAGGACTACCTGGCATCATGGGGCACATGTCACCCAGCGCAGGGTGCTGACACTCACATTTCCCGTGGCTATAGAAGGATGTTGACTCATCCTCAGAAATCAGAATCACATCTTAATTCTTGCCCTAAAATACATGCTTATCACTTCCACACTCAGAGCTGCCTTGTGAAGGTCTACCCAGCATTGACAGGATACAGAGATTTGACTGTTATTTGATACATTGTGTAATAAGTGTGTTTTTGTTTCAAAAAGAGCATTGACAGTTTTATTACTCTTATTTCTTTGTATTTTTTAATGGAATGTTAATATTACTATGAAGTTAATTTGCAGTCCTCTTCTAAATAGAAAACTATCACTACTAATATCCAGGGACTGCAAGCTCTTTGCCATCCCCTTGTTGGCAACGTAGAGTCAGATTGGCATGAAACCACTCACTGCATTCTAGAGTCACTAGCCACATGCTGTCATAAATACCATGTCAAGTGTAATCTTAACAGGTGAAAAATTGTCATAACTAAGGTACCTGTGAAAACTACTAGTTAATATGTGTAATAGATTCATCTTGCCTTTTCTTACATTTCTAATAATGTACAGATTAGGTCATCTCAATTCATGTTGGTGATGTCAACACCTCCATTGTTAGTATTCTCTGATAAGTTTTCAGACAGATGGCTTTTTTTTTGGTGTCTAAAATGTAAGCAAAAAATTCCAGCTGAAACATTCCAGTCCTTTCATTGGTATGAAACAAACACCCAACAAGCCAGTGGCATAGATGCAAGCAGACACATTGTGAGGACCCTCCCCTGATGCAGGTCTTCAAAGCTGACTGAGACACAAAGACCACTATAGTGTCCAGGTAAAAGAATATCACATTCTGTGTGCAGTGCACTGTGCATGGTGTGTTCACATTCATCTCACACCTACTCGTTACTGCTGCTCTTGGGTGCAGGCAATGGGTGTGAAGATAGCCATCAGTTTGGGGGAGCTACATGTAGGGTTGTCCTTGAGGAGTTACAAAAGTAGTCCACCCACACTGCATGCCACATAATATTCAGATCATTCAGAGGAGACTGTTTTATCTTTATTTGCTTATATGTTAATACGGTTTTTAAATTGGTAACTTTTATATAGTATGGTAACAGTATGTCAGTACACACATACATGTGCTTTCATGCTTTGGGTCCTTCCATAATACTTTTATATTTGTAAATCAATGTTTTGGAGCAATCCCAAGTTTAAGGGAAATATTTTTGTAAATGTAGTGGTTTTGAAAATTTGAGCAATTCTTTTGCTTGTACATTTTTAAAGCACTTGCGCTTTAAAATTGTTGTGCTGGTGTTCTGAAACATGATATTCCTGTAGCACAGATGAGCAGCATGTAAAAGTGGAATAATGGTGTGGCTTCTTACTATCGTCCAACTCAAAAGGATGGAACAGCAACGACCAATTGGGAATTCAGAGTAAAGTTGCTAGGGTTGCACCAGGTTCGCCTAAAGCTTGTTGCCTTTTTTGTGCCGTTTATCCGTGTAGAGCACTCCAGAAAGTTCTGAAACTGCTTTGTATCTGCTTTGTACTGTTGGTGCCTTCTTGGTATTGTACCCCAAAACTCTGCATAGATTATTTAGTATAATGGTAAGTTTTAAAAAATGTTAAAGGAAGATTTTATTAAGAATCTGAATGTTTATTCATTATATTGTTACAATTTAACATTTATTTGTGGTATTTGTGATTTGGTTAATCTGTATAAAAATTGTAAGTAGAAAGGTTTATATTTCATCTTAATTCTTTTGATGTTGTAAACGTACTTTTTAAAAGATGGATTATTTGAATGTTTATGGCACCTGACTTGTAAAAAAAAAATACAAAATATCCTTAGAATCATTAAATCATGTCCCTGTATTACCAAAATAACATAGTACTGTGCATGTATAGTTTAATTGCAATTTCACATGTGAAAGTATGAAATCGTCTATTCCTTTATTATTACAGTGTTTCCCAAATAAGTGTGTCTTTCTCTTTTGATTTTGGTAGTGATAGGATCATAAGTCAGTCCCCCAGGGTCCATGGCAGTCTTCCATGTGGTTCTTCGGACAGGAAGAATAAAGGCATCGCCTGTTGTCTTCTCTCTAGGCCCCCTGGACTTCAGCAACCAAGGTACTAGGGCAGATGTCACAGGTAGCCAGACCTAAAGCCATGACTCTATTACTGAGTCTTGAATATTTGATTCTTGTCAATATTGAGCATTGTGCAATGACCTATTTCAAGACAAAGATACTGGGAAATGTTTTTGCTGTGATATTACAGGATGAACACACGCTTTAGGCCACTGACACTGGGTTTCCCGGCCTTCCTTTTTGCTTACAGTGGCAACTGCTTGGGCTACTTGTTTTTCTCTTTGCTTTACTCTATCAGCTATAAAGTGAAACTAGTTTGCTTTGTATGTTGTTAAGATCATAAAAAATAATTTCAAGTGATTAGCATTGAAACTCAAAGCAAGTACTCAGTAAAGAGATTAGCATAGAGCCTCAAAGCAAATACTCAGTAAACAAGAAGTCTTCCTAAACACTTTTTGATTTATTAAACACTGCTAGAAGGTGTCACTAAAATTTTTGCCTACTAAAGAAACTGCTTCCTATTAAAGAGGAAGCCTGTCAGAAACTTTATTCAGGGAAACGAGGCAAGGCAGACTAAATTGGAAGATGTTTGTTTTTGTTTTTGGTGTTTTGTTTTATAATACTGAGGATTGAACACAAGGACTGATGTATATTAGGCAAGCTCTCTACCACTGACTACATCCTCTGCCCTTTTTATTGTATTTTAAACATGGTCTTGCCAACTTGCATAGGCTGATCTCCAAGTTATTATCCTCTTGCTTCAGCCACCCTGATAGATGGGATAACAGATGTGTACTTCCAAAGTGGAAGTTTGTGATAGGGCATTTGAAATACTGTGGGTCCATCACAATTGCTTCTCTCTGAAAGGTTCATTGTCTAAATTCTATCAAAAGCAATCATTATGATCTTCCTTGAAGAAGTCTGATAATCACTTTTCTCCTGTTTACCAGTGATGGCCTCCTTCCCTCTATGACACAGCCATTCCAGCTGACAGTAGTGCAGCATCTTGGCTGTCTGCTGTGTTTCATTAGAACCATGTGTTCAGAGCTGACCAGAGCCTACCCCAGGGCATCTGAGGGATGAAAGAATAAAACTAGACTATGAGGGTCACAAAGCAAGTGGAGGCAAGGTGCAGGCTACCCGAGTCTCCAGGCCAGAAGGGCTTGGGGATATCCAAAGAGGTAAGTTTTCATGGGGAAGAGGGACAGGCCAGCCGGTCTGAGAGGAAGAAGCTGAATGGGAGGCACAGAAGGCATGAAAGAGGGTCTGGGGATTTAGCTCAGCGGCATAAGCGCCTGCCTTGTAAGCAGGCAGTCGTGAGTTCGATCCCTGGTACCGATAAAAAGGAAAAAGACAAAAAAAAAAAAAAAAGAAGAAGAAGGCATGAAAGGGTTTTGGACCTACACCTGCCAAGTACAAGGGTGGGAGCAGGATACACACTGGGGCTTGCTCTTTGAGTCTGGTACCAAGAATGGCTAAAGGAAAAGTCATTTTCTAGGTAGACAGGAAGAAACCCAGAGAAGTCATGCCCTGTAATATGTCTCAGATGAGGTGAGAGACAAGGTCTCTGCTAAGGATAAAGCCGACCTTCCATGAGAAGTGGAAACACAAGGGCTGCCTGCCACTGTGAGAGCCTGTGGTGACAGCTAGGATATTGTTTTCTCATCTACATGTTATGGGCAAAGCAGACATCAAAGGGGACAAAGAGAGCCATGAGACAGTGAAGAGATGTAAGGGGCGGCAGTGGTGAGCAGAGACCACACATTGTGGGCCCCTGCCACAGACCCCCAAGGGGACAAAGCAAGAGGCTGTGGTCCAATTTCCAGCACATGCAGATTCTTTGAAGGTGAGCATCATCTTGAAACAGGAACCAGAGCAGGGCCTGGAGAGCAGAAAGTCATCACAGTAGAACTGTGCAGGAAACAGACTACATGAAATGCGTTGCCCTTGTAGATAATGATGGTAAGATGGTAACAGTCTAGGAGGGAGAGAAGGAGGGAGGGACCCTGGCTAGTTTTAGTTGCAGTGTACCAAATAAAGGAAACAATTGTGCACTTCATCTGGATTTATCGATCTACTTGTAGATCAGTTGAACACATAACAATTCCTGCTGCAGACTTGCAAAGTCAGCACCTGGGCTGCATCAAGGGTCATCATGGTCCAGAAAAATCCTTGACCTTGCAGGAGTCTATGGAAAAGGGAGTTTTTCATTTATATAAAAAACAAGGCCTGTGCGCATAGTTTTGTGATATTTGTATCGTGGTCCACAACGTTTGCATTTAAATGCTTGATAACTATAACAGGAATGTAAGGACACATGAGTCACTTGACAGACAAATTCAGAAGGACCCTGGGTGCCCATCAGTCGCTTACATGGGCTCTGAGAGCCACCTTAGTGGTGTGGTCACAGATTAGAAAACAGGCCAGATCCTTCCTTGATAGAAGTAATCTATAATTGCTGATCCCTGGGTAAATTCTTTTCTGTTTGCCTTTTTCTCTTCATTCTCCATTTCCTGATTTCCTATTCTCAAAGTTGAACAACCTTCTTGTGTAAGTAATACTCTGCAT